AAAACCGGCTAATAATGCCTTTATCTAATAATTGGTTATTATTTAATCTCTTTCCTTTCCATCTGATCCCAGGTGACAACCATAAACATTTATTCTAGTGTATTAGCATTGAGTAGAATGATTTCAAGAAAGATTCTGCATTTCTTGCTAAGTAAAATAGTTTTCTTTTTAAAAAAATGGAAAAAGTGGGTCAGCATGTAAAATAATAATGCACTGAGGCTTGGTTCAGACAAATTTATTTTTCCTCAACATCTCAAGGGGTTCTCTCTCTGAGGGCACATTTAAGCTTTAAAATGAGAAACTGAGGTTTGTGACTAATTGCCTTCAAACAGAGGAATGTAAACATGACTTCTGAGATGTTCAGGATTTTCACATGATCACAACAGACAAACTCGTGGAAGCCTGGAGGTTTCTAATACCACAGGAAGGAAACAGAAAAACCCAAAGTGTACACAGCATGAAACTCTAGAAGTACCCAGGGTAAATATGTTTGCAGCTGATCATTACCCACATGTCTCAGAAGCAGAAATGGAGTTCAACCCTGCTGTTTCAGAATTAAATGAACATATTCTACCTGCCCAACAGCAGATATCCTAATGCATTACATCAGCACCAACAATGCTGAGTGAACAGACAGTTTTTAGGGCTGAATAATTATTCTCAAAAAGTAATTTTGCAACCACATAAAAGTGTCACCTTTCTCCCTTCCCTCCTGTTTCCCTCCATAATAAAACCAGGATTAAAAAATGAATAGGAGAAATCTTTTTTTGCTTAGAATTCACATAAACAAATAATGCACTGGGTTGCCACTAAAATGCCCAAACACCCAGCCTAGCCCAGCCCTTCACCCACTGGGCCTGTCCAGCTCTGAGAACATCACTCTTGAGTCTATTCCATTCTGAAAGTCTGATTTCTGCAATCTCTTTCTTGCTTTCATTTCATCTTGACAAAGTGAAGCTCACGTGATTCCCACAGGATGGGATGTGACAAAATACAAGGGGATTTTTTTTTACTACATCACATGTCCTTTTCTCTCATTTTAGAGCAGAAATTTCTCTTTCCCAGCAATAATTCATTTCTAGGTGACAAAGCCATGTGAGCACATGGGAGCAAGGAAAAAATTAATGGTGATCTAACACATTAAACTACTTTTATGAAGCATTTTGATGAACACCAGCAAGAGACAGAGTGTAATTATTGTGGCCATTAGGCTGTTATTTATGTTAAATTTGTTGCTCTTGTTGGCTTCAGAAGTGTTTTAGGACTACAGCACTCTTGGGAGTCCATCAAATGTACTGGCACGTGCAACAAGCTCACTGCTTTTACAACATGAAAATGTTTAATAACTGCACTGAAAATGAGAGAAACAGGGCACTCAGGACAATGGCATAAATGCAATAGAAAGAAAATATTGTGTAGAAAATCAAAGGCAATGCTGGCATAAATTTTCCTGTCCCCTGTTATTTAATATCAGGTTAATTTCTTCAGTTATAGAAGTGTTAAGAAAATTAAGCACTGAAATACAGTACCATGAACAAATGAGGAATAAATGCAGGAACAAATGAAGAATATAGCCTGGAAAATCCTGTTACTGTCTCTCACTGTGTTCACGTTCTCACAAACTGATTTAGTCACTTGTAGTTCAAACTGAAAATCAGTTTCTCTGACAGCAGCATCTGGTTTCAGGCAGCACAAACCAGCAACTCCTTCAGTGCTACAGAACCGAGGAGGAAAAGTATCAAAACAAACGCTGTCCTTGTTACATTTCCAGAAAAGGGGAAAGGAAATTGCCGAGCAAATTATCCATTATATAACTGAAACCCTTTTGGTGATAAGGCAGGAAATGGTCATTAAGGCTCTACTCAGAGATGGCCAAGCCCTGTCTGTAATTATTTTGTATTTGACAGAATCAGTGGCTTCATTCCTGCAACAGGCACAGAGCACAGTAATGGAATGGGAATATCAAACATTGCTACCCAAAAATATAAACATGAACAGAATATTGTAAGAGGATCATGGCTCCCATTACTATCACATCTTGCCCAATGTCTCCACAGCAGCTGTGGACAGAGGGAAGTGCTGTCAGTTGTGTTCTGCAGCGAGGAAAACCCAAAAAGTCTTCACCTGCAGCCACCCCAAGGATTTTCCAGGCCCATCCCACCTGGCACTGCCAGTCCAACAGCAGCCACAGGGGAAGAACAGGCAGGAATCCAGACCTTTACCCTCTGGCTGTTCCTCCTCTCAGTCACCACTGGCACAGCAGAGATGCCCCATTTTGGTAAGGTGAGAAACAGCACTAAGCCAAGAAAACATTCGGGAAATGCAGGACCCTGAATCTCACCTCATTACACGAGGAATTCACAAAAATAAAATCAGCCAACTCCCAGCACACAAGTAAAGGATGGCACAGGTCAGCACGCACCTCCCAGACTCCGTCAGTGTTCGAGGGTTTCCCCGTGCCCATTTCTGATCACTGTTTAATTCCCACACCATTTTCTCTTTGCTTGTCTGGTCACCTGCTTGTCAGGAGAGCGGTGGGAGATCGATGCTTCACGGGCAACAACAGCAGTGCTGTGCAGATGCTACAAGCAGTAAAGCCATCTAATAATCTCCTGGGTCAGGATTTAGAGTGTTACGAAATTATTACTGCCTGAGAAGGAAATCAGAAGAATTGGGAGAACTTTCTAATTGCTTCACCATTAATCTGGAACACTGTCGCAAGCCCATAATAAGCAAGGCACGAGAACTTCAAATCATATTTGACAGATGGGCTTAATTAGTTATTCCCAGACAGAATCATAATATTTGCAGTTAATATTCATCTGAAAACAGCCTGCTGGCTGTGATAATATTTATATGTTAATCCTGTTACGATAAGCTGCCGGTGCCAGAACCTCTCCAGACAAAATGACGGATATATTTCAAACCCCGAGCAGGGAACGCTCTGGCATTCTGCTCTGGGTTGTCACTTGCACAAGTGCCTCCTTAAGCCGTGAAATTACACTTGTCACACTGAGTTAGCTTTATTAACACTATTTTCTGATCCATGTAAAACTATCAGGAACACAAAGGTACTGAATCTGCAGTTAATTAACACTGCCACCTTTGCATCCGTGTGATCAGACCTCTGCTTTTTAGGAGAAATTGAAGAATATGCAAACAGAGTTTGTGTCATTTCTAAATTAACTATAGAGGCCAAAAATTTGGTAAGGGACATCAATATTTAACTGTGACCCAGTGTGCCTATTTGGTGACATCAAACATTTCTAGATAAGGATAAAATTATTTCCCAAAAAGTGTAGAGCACATGTAATGTGCTCTTTCCCCATGTAATGCTTGATCTTGCTTCTTCAAATGCACAGCTAAACAGATCCAACTAAATTTAATGAGGAAAACAATACACTGGGCAATGCATTGCAAATACTTTGCACTTGTTTACAAAGAGGGAGGAAGAAGTTCTCAAAAGTTAGAAAACCAGAAAATCTCAGCTGGCAACTCGATGGAGCAAATCCAACCAGGAGTTACAGGAGAGGTACACGTGCACCTTCTCCTCCCTGGGTTTTCTTTCCAGTAAATCTGTGTACAACCTCAGATTTCTTTCAATAAACACTCAGCAATGTTTATACTCAGCACGTGCAAGCACACAGAATCCACAGCCACTACATGAAAGACGACATAGTAATTTATTTTTTGTGTACCAGGGGTCATTTTCAAGGATTGCCACTGGATGATGAATAGTGAGGGGAAGTTCAGTTGCCAAGATTCAATTTCCCCATGAGGCTGCTTTACATTTTCCTGCTGAGGAAGAGAAATCAGGCAAATGCACTCTATGGGCCCAACAAGATAAAGTGTGATGGAAAACTCATCGCTGAAATAATCTCTGATTTTGATCCAATGCCCATTTCTGTCAATGAAAATATCCATCCTTTCTTGCAGTAGCTTTGAAGGGGGATTTTAAGGAATCTGACAGACTGTGCCTGGCATAGGAAGCTCCCACCTTGGCATGCACACACATTTCTGTCTGCCCAGTGCCATTCAGTCATATATATGACAATATACGCTTTAGATGAGGGAAATTCAGCACACTATAGCAAAGGAACTGTGTAGAATCTGAGTTATTATAAGCAGAAAGTGATTACAAAGGGAAGTTCTTCCCTTCCTCTTTTTTTTCATACATGCAGATTGCAAGGAGATGAAACTTCCTAATTATTATGTTCAGAAGGTATTTACTTAAATATCATAAAGCACATAATAAATCCTCAAACCTTATTAGATTTTGTAACATTTCACACGTGGATCACACACAATGTGGGACATTTGTTTTCTATCAGCAATGTCAACCACAAAGGCAGTCAGGTCCTTGTAATGTGCACTTGACTTGCTCCAGAAGCAATGAAGAAGCAGCAGCACATTATATAAAAATGAATTCATTAAACAAGAGTTGTGATTAAAAAAGGAACATCCACCTGCCAGATGAAGGCATTTTAAGACAGGTCAATGTTGCAGAATGGGAATGGAAAACAGAAAATCTATTTCCTTCTGCAGATCAAAAATTCATATAAATCTCACCTTCAACATTATTATCGTACAGGCACAAATGACCAAAACAAAACAAGAAAAAAACCCAACAAAGAAAGGAAAGAGGCCCAACCCACCAAGAAAACCTCAAGTAAAATTAATAAACCAAACCAAAAAAATCCACCACAAACAGCCATATGAAGATAATTTAAGAAAAATTAAACTAGCCACAATCAAACTCGAAGATATGAAACAAGTTCTTCCAAATAAGTGGTGACAGCAGTATTTTCTGGGAGTTTCCAGTTCCTTTGAGCACTAGGACTCAGTAACATTTGCGTGGTGGATTGAGCAATGAGTACAAGACAGACACAGCTTTTCCAAAAGCCTTTCCTCGTGCGCCATAGGAGAACGTATTAAAATCATAAAAATGTATTGAAACCAGCCATGAGTTCTGAAAAGCAAGGCTGCTGGACGTGCCCTACCTGCTCTCAGCAGCAGATCTCCTCTGGCAAACAACAACAGCCGGCGCGTATTTCCCGGTGTAATCCTCGCTCTCTCGGATGTCCCACAGGTACGGGCTGCTGGCTCTCACGCTGAGAACGTTCACACCTCTCTTCACCTTGGCCCTAGGAAAACGAGAAGATATTTCACCCATCAGACAGGAAAGAGCAGCTCAATCTATTCCTGTTTCATCATCGTGTTCTCATTACTGCCCCACAGAAATGCCACCACTCGTTAAGAGTTCAATGGCAGGACAAGGAACGGAGATGAGAGAATTAATTAATTAAGACTTTCATATTTAGAAGAAATTGTATCAAGACAGAAATCTGATTGAACTGATGGTAATTACAGCTTTAGTCATAGCTGGATTGAAGGGGAGGTGTGCTCTGGAGCAGGCTCCTCGCTCCTGCTCCTCACTCACCCACACTCTGGGCATGTTAAAGCTCTCTCCTGGCTGCAAGTTATTGTATTGGAGCAGAAAGCACCATTTCTGGTGTAAAAACAAGGGAGTGAAGAGCCATTGCTAAGCCTCATTACAAACAAAATCCACCCTTTCTCTCTTCCCTCTCTGGATTACTCTAGGATGACAATCCTTATCTTTGCTCTTATTTTCATCATCTTTTTGGGTCCACAACATTTTCTTTTAATACTGTTGCGTTTAATTGTCCTGTAATCTCTGAACTTAAAACCACTTATTTTTTAAAATTCTTATTTTTCCTAAAGCAAGATTTCTCTGGAGCTCTGTTTCCATGTATGAGAGGTTAAACAACAGCAAAAGCCATATGGCAGACTGGACTGGCTCCTGCTGAGAGGCACTTTCTAGTTTTCATGTGCTAGCATAATACTTCTGGGGCTGCATGGTGAAAGAATAACCAGAATAAAAGCTGCAAGTTATTAACCACAAGTGGAGAAGGGGGACTTTATATGGAGAGAGATGCACTTTCAAATATCTGTTTCAATTCCTCTCATCAGGTGTGGCATTCTTTAATTCTGTTCCAAAATTTCTACCTCAGGGCACTACAGAATTACCCCACAGGTATAAATATAATGTCGGCCAAATTACTGAACGAGGAGTCCCTGGTGCTGTTTACTTCTGGTTCCTGAATGTGTTTACAAGAAGTCCATTGTGGTCAAGCCTCATAAGGTGTCAGGAAATGGCAGTTTAATTATATTTGCATAAAATCTCATACACAAAATGCATTCAGTGCCATGGCAAGTTCTCGGTGCTGGGCAGAAACCCCAAAAGGTAGGTGAGGTTTTTGTCTGAGCAGCTGCTGCCACGCAGAGAAGCAAACAGCAGCAGAACAGCACTGTCAGCTCTGCCCCCGCATGAAATTGCTCAGGAAGTCTTTGAAGGACAAGATCCACACAGATGTTTTCAGAATAAAAAGCCAAAGGATTCCTTCAACTGTCTTGAACAAAAAGGATTAAATCTCTTTTCTTCCAGCACTAACTCAACAGCAGTGGCTGCAATTTCCTTAGCACACCTGGAAGAATAAATACAGGGAGGCTGCCAATTTTGTACAAGTTCTCCTATGCTAATTTAACAAAATGAATTTTAAGCAGGTGCAGTCACTGCTGCTAGAGCAGACATCCCTCAGGACAAGAGATCAGTGGTCAAAGGAGTGGAAATTAAACTCCATTCCTGATGTCTCAGAGAGGGAGGTACAGAGAGACCACACACCCTGGGTGAAACGTTTCTCAGCACGTGTCTTCAGCCATTCCTTGGGACTGGCATCTGGTCATGCCTTCCTGCTCCACCTCAGGGAAGGAAAACTGCTGGGCACCAGCCCAGAGCAGTGACAGAAAAATGATCCCCACCCCTCAGGGAGATTTGGGTGGCTCAAGTGCTGTGCAGTTGTCTGGCTGTGACTGAGGAGCTCACCCCACCCCAGAGCTCTGACACAGCAGCTGTAGCTCAAGTCTCACTGTGGGATTTGGGTGACCCAGCTGAGCTGATGGGTTTGGAGAGTCCCAGCCTGGATGAAGCTGAGCTGATGGGTGTGCAAAGTCCCAGCCTGGATGAAGCTGAGCTGATGGCTGTGCAAAGTTCCAGCCTGGATGAAGCTGAGCTGATGCCCAGCCCTCCCTCCAGCCCTCCCAGCTGTGAGTGAGGGGTGCTTTCACTCACACAGCCTGGAGCTCCTGCTGCCAGCTGGGCCCCTCAGCTCTGTACCAGTGCATTGTGCTGACTGCACAGCAGCTATGCTTTTACACATTTTATTAACTAAACAGCCTAAGACCATAGCAGGGTCTACCCTGCTCAGCTGGCACACCTGCACTAGCTGTACTGCAATTGGAAAGCTGTGCAGGGTCTCAGGACTCGTCAGCAAACAGATACACACTGAAAATCAAAGAAAATTCATTCCTTATTGTAAAAAGCTTTTAAAACTATAGTAAAATAAGTGTACAAGCACAGACACATAGCTGATGCCATCCTCTTATTTTTCTGTCTGGATTCCTTTAAATGCCAGGGTGAGGAGGTAAGCCAGAAAAATGGACACATAACTAGCAGGACAAGCTGAGTTTGTTTATCCTTGGCATTCACTTTATCCAATGACAAACTGCCATCCTGTACTGATTTCTAATGCTTCAAAAGAAATGCAGATCCTTGGGGTAAATGCAGTCTATGGATCAGGATTTCTCAGAAGAGATAAGATCTCATGTAGTCATCTGTGAAATGCTCCAATCCCCTGATTTTACTGAAAACAGTAACACAAGTTTGCTGCTTTCTACAGAATTAGAGGTTAGGAACTAATTTTGAGGAATCAGATTAATATACTTCTATAATTAGCACAGAAACTTCAAATCCTCAATCCCAGGAAATGTTTTGCCTCCAGTATGTCTCAGTGCTGTGTTTTTCACTGTTGGGCAATTGCAGCATTTTATTCACTCCATTTACAGTGGCAGCAGCACGTTGCAATTAGTGAAGACTGACCTGGGTGAAACAGGGTCAGTAACAACTGAAGGTGTGTTTTCTGGCACCAGCTGAAGTCACCTGAGGTGCGAGCACTGACTGCTGCCGGAGCTCAGTGACTTTGTGGCCACTCTGCAGCACGGGATGGCCTGGCTTTCCCAGGGTTTGACCCCTCAGCTGCTCCCCAGGGCTCCTCAGGCAGCCTCTCTGTTCTAAGATGTCTCAATTGCAGCACACCAAAAACCTGCACAGCAAAGCTTTTCCATCTGTTTGCTCTCAGTTAACAGTCTAAGTACAACACGTTGTAAGTTTGCTCAAAACACCGAGGCTGGGCTGCAGCAAGAGGAGTCCTTGGAGTGTTTTGTGCCCATCATGTCAACTTTGGTCTGCTTGGTGGAGAGGAGGAAAAAGGAAGGCCATAAACATTTGAATTGTGGCTGGTTTGGGGTTGTTGTTTCTTTTCAAACAAGGAGCCCACCCAGCTAACCACCTTCTCGACTATTATTTACCTCTGGATCACTGCTCACATCAGTTACCCAGGCTCCTGAGCAGCTCACCCCTCGCACAAAATCAATCACGGCAAACAAAGCCCTTGGGAGTCCACATCCCTGAAAACTCGTCAGTGCTGACAGGGTACAAATCAAGGGAAGAGAGAAGCAAAGAGAAAGCACAGAAGGAACTCCCAGAATCAATACATCACAACTGAAATCAAGGAAACGCATTACCTAAGTGCATAAAGATAGCGATTCCCAATCCTCTCCCCTGACCCACTGAACACTGTTTACTCTAGTGATGGAAGAGGCTGCAGCTCCAATTAAAATGCAGGCAGCATCCTCTCTCATTTATCACAGGGGCTGCTTTAACACCTCCAGTCCCTGCAGTTTACAACCATTAGGGCTCAGCTTTCAGCCCGTGCCATTGCTGAGTGCATACAGTCTGCCCGGGGTGGGATGGGCACAGACACCCTTCCCGGGATGGGCACAGACACCCTGCCCGGGCCAGGTTCCCCTCCCCTCACTCAGAGCGTGCCCTGCTGGCAGCACACAAGTATCATTCCCCTTTCCAACACAGTACAAATAAACAGGCAATCCGACCCCTAAACAGCTCTAAATAAAGATGCTTCAGACCCGTGACATTGAAGTTAGCTTTTCATTACTGTAAGTGCTCGGGGCAAAGATCTGTGGGAACCTTTCATGGTCCTTCTGAGAAAGAGAGCTACTTTCAACATCAAAGGGGAAAAAGAAAAGGGAGCCTGTTAACACCCTGCTACCGCTGGTTGTCATCTTGTCACCAGCAGCGATGAGAAGGTGGCAGATAAATTGTGTGCAGAGGGGGCATTTTTGAGAGCTCCTAGGCACCTACCAGACATCACAGTGGCCTCTGAGATTGCCTTGTCACTGCATCTCCCCGAAGCATTTCAGAAATAACTAGAAGGGGCTTCTATTTCTGTTTATCTCCAGTGTTTCTTCCTGCCCAGAGCCTGACCTTAACCCAGCAATGGAGAGAGAGCAGAGCAGTGCAGGATGGCAGCCTTCCCTCTGCCAATATCCACCTCCTTTGGGCAGCAGGGATGGGAGCAGGAGGGGTGGAGAGAGGCTTTCCCCCACCACCCATTTCAAACCAAAGACAACCAAGATGTGAGCAGAAATGGACATGACCACAGCTTCTCATGGCATGAAACAAAGGAATGAGGTCAGTTTTTACTCACTGGAAAGCCAAACACACTGGTGTAAGCCAGCAGCAGAATACTCCCTGCACAAAACCCTGCAGGCATTCCCAGCCCTCCAGCTCTCATTGCCCAGAGCTCATTTTTGCTGGGGACAATGCATGGGTGGCTCCTCACACAGGCTCCTTCCAGTGACATCCCCGCTGGATCCAAGAACAAATTGCCGCTCCTGGAGCTGGAAACACCTTATTTTGTCTGTACTCCCCGAGCCTGGAAGGGGCTGAAGGACAAACCCAGCCACCCTCCAGACACTAAGCAGGAGCTGGCAGACCTCCTCAGGGTCTTCCTGAAGACCAGAATGAAATGTCGTGCTTGAAATCAGGTAGTGTGGGGCAGCTGCTACCATGGGATCCAAAACTGAGACAGCAGCTGTGGCATGACTAAGCTGTAGATGCACTCAGAGTTCCCTGGGAGCTGTCTCTTGCTGGCAAGTGCGTGCAGAATGATCCTGTTAATGCTGTGGTACATTAAATGCAGACATC